GAAAAGGTATTCTCCCATATTCGGTTTCTAAGGCGTAAAGGAATAACAAAAGATCTTTCTGGCCAAGGCAGGATGTTCTCTGCCACAACACAACCTTGCGTGAGCGCGCGCGCGCGCGGATGAGCGCGCGCAGTTTCTCTCTCCCTTCCTCCCTCCCTCCCCCTCCCTCCTTCCCTCTCCCCTCTTCTCTTTCTCTCTTTCTCTCTTTCTCCCTCTTTCCCTCTCCCCGGCCTCTCTGATGTGAAGATGCCACCCATCCCTGGAAGGCCAGAAGGGCGAGTCCTGAAGTCTGCTCTAAGCTTGGGACAGCTCCCGGGCCGGACAGCTCCGGAGCAAGGCCTAAGCCGGGCCAGTCTGCTCCCCTCCCCCTCGCAGCCTTCCCCGCTCCTCCTCACCTCGCATTCTGGTACCGCCACTGCCACCTCCGCCACCGCCTCCAGTGGGAGAATTGGGCCCCGCTGACTGTTTGCGCCATCCTCGCCAGTTCTGGCAAAGGCTCTCGGCCTCGGAGATGAACGAACAGAGTGAATCCTCCTCAAAGCGGTCGGAATCCTCGAACGAGAAGCGCTCGCCGTCCTCCCACTCCGCGAACATCAGCTCCATGGGGCCCGCACCCCCCGGGGCCGGGTCTCCCCCAGCGGATCCGGGGCCTGGGCCGCCGGCCGGGGACTGAGGGGAGGCCCGGGGCCTGAGGGGCGAGCCGGGGCTGGGGGTGGCCGGGGCGCTCAGGGCGGCCGTGCCAGGGGAGGATCTCGAGCCTGAGAGGGACACCGCGCCGGGCCTCACCCAACAGCGAGGTGCGAGCGGGGATCGTGGCCAGTCTGCGAGACTCGAGGCCGGGACGAAGCGCTGGGCGGCCAGGGCCTCTAGGCGGCTGCGGCGCCGCCTCCCCCATCAGCTGATCCGAACTTCCGGCCGCGCCGGCCATCACCACTTCCGCCCTCGCGTGCTCGGGGACCGGACCGCGTACGGGCGGGTGTAGGGGACACGTGTGTTCCTTGCCTGCTGTTTTCTAGAGCCCACCCTCACACACAGCTCCCAAAGGTATGCGAACAGCTACAGATTCCAGCAACTACTTGGTGCCCGTAATGCCCCCAAGGAAGAAACAGCCGCTGTTCATGTCGAGAATAGTTAGCTGTCAGAGGACAGTGCAGTGACCATTGGCCAGGTTATTGTCACCCCTCGGGATAGGCCGAGGCCGCATCGCCTCCTGGGAGTTGCAGTTCAGAGCCCATAATCCAGCCACTTTATAGAGTCTAAAGGAGAGCCCCAGGAAAGAAATCATTTGATTTGACTTCAGGAATGGTTGTCCTTTTCCTCCGTACTGCCTTTGAATCTAGGGGTTTTTAATCTGCGTACACGGCGCGTGCATGCGCGATGTAGACCTTTTGTCAGGCTAGTGAAGTCCATGGATGCCCACCACTTCGCCTGATTATTTATGAATTACAAATTACTTAAGTTTAAACACAATTATCAAGGCTTTAATAAAACGAACTTGTAACATAGTACTGTTTATAAATTATACACCAAGAATGGGCGGGTATTTAACTCATTTTTGGTTCTCAGCCTAACCTTGCTGAGATACGGTGCTCTCTTCTAGCCTGCAGGCACAAATGCAGGCAGACCATTGTATATATAATAAATTAAATTAAATTAAATTAAAAAAAGAAAGAAAGACCCTTCTTTACCTTAGTAATCGTCACACTAAACCATGGAGAATTCTCATTTCTTTATCACATTTAATGCTATCAACTACTAAGAAAAAGTTAACTAGACTATGCCTGAAGGGGCAAAACATACATAGAATCCTACACAATTATTCCAACTATCAGAGGACAGTAAATACTTTCAGCAAATAGCAGAATATAAGAAAACAAATAAACAGTAATTTACAATGAAGTTAATTTCCTACCAAGTCTCACTTGGGAGAGTTAAGTAAAAAGTCACTGGAATATTGAGACAGATGATAATCAGCTCTACCTGTTTATTTAAAAAATAGTTGTCGGAGGGGAAGTGAAAAAACTTTATCTTCAAAAAAAGAAAAGAAAAAAGAAGGTGGGAGTATTCAAGACAGTGTTTCTCTGTGTAACAGCCCTGGCTGGCTGTCCTGGACTCAAAAGATCTGTAGATCAGGCTGGCCTCAGTCACAGATCTATCTGCCTCTGCCTCCTAAATGCTGGGATTACAGGCATGCACATCACGGAACTATTTACAACACAGTACCGTTAGGAATTGGTCTGGTGCTATGTATTCTTTTGGATGGGAAGCAGACAAGATAACTTAGAGGGCTGAAATCTGTCCAGCTCTAGTGCTGTAAAGCTTAGAAATTATAGTCCCTTCATATCAATTATTTGGAAACTAGCAGGGGGCAGAGAAACCTTAAAGAGTCTAATATCCCCTTTCTACAACATAGTACTGCTTATTTATTCATTAAGCAAGACTGAGCAGAGTATTTAATTCATTGGTAATGTTTGCTTTTAATTTTTTAAATTGTTTTGGGGGCTTTTTGTGACAGAGCTTCTCTGTATAACGCAGGCTGTCCTCAGAGTCTCTCTGTAGACCAGGCTGGCCTCAAACTCTCAGAAATCAGCCTTCCTTTGTGCTCGTATTAAAGGTGTTCTCCACTACCAGGCTTTTTTTCTTAAGCAACTTTTTTTAAAAATGATCTAATTTTTTTGTTTTTTGAGGCAGGGAATCTTTATGGCCTTGCTCAGAGATCTGCCTGCCTGCCTCCTAAGTGCTGAGATAAAAGGCATGTATGCCATACCCAATGAAACTTTTTATTTTGTGTATCTGTTTGTAAGTATACTTGAAGGCATCAGGTCCCCTGGTGAGACACCTATCACTGTTGCTATGGAACCCAATGTCAGTCCTCTGCAAAAGTAGCAAATTCTGAGCCCCTAAAAATTGTACAAATCAAACAAAACATATCTTAGAACCTCTGGGTTATCAGTTTATGCACTTTCTTCAGCAAGTACTTTGGACATACTATTTGTGAAGCACGCACTCACTGAATACAGTTTATGGTAAAAATAAAATAAAATAATAAAAAATTAAAAAGCTCTGCATACACAGGTACTTCACCAATCCTCATGTATCTGAAAGGAGAAGCACTAAATGGCATGAAGGACTTGAAAGGCAACAAAAGACATCCATTCTTGTTCATCAAGAGGCTATTTGGAGCCAGGCATGGTGGTGGTCACCTTCAATCCCAGACAGGCTGGAAGGAAAGGAAAGGAAAGGAAAAAGGAAAAAGGGAGGGAAGGAGGGAGGGAAGAAGGAGGGTAGAAGGGAGAGAAAGAAGGAAAGAAAGAGAAAAAAAAGAAAGAAAAAGAAAGAAAGAAAGAAAGAAAGAAAGAAAGAAAGAAAGAAAGAAAGAAAGAAAGAAAGCGAGCATATTTGGTCTGGGAAGTGGTGGAGCATGACTTTAACCCCAGCACTTGTGAAGCAGAAGAATGCTGATCTCTGAGGTCAAGGCCAGCCTGGTCTACAGTGTTTCAGGACAACCAGGGCTATATAGAGAATCCCTGTCTCAAAAGAACAAAAAGAAAGGAAAAAAGAAAAGAGAGCATACCAGGAATTAAAGAGCTTCCAGGGTCTAGGGGGAAAGTATGTATCTCAGGAAAGGGTATGCTGGCCAGGTTCTGTGGTGCACATCTATAATCCTAGCAGAGGCAGAGGTAGGTGGATCTCTGTGAGTTTGAGGCTAGCCTGGTCTACAAAAGTGAGTCCAGGACAGCCAAGGCTACACAGAGAGACCATGTCTCAAAAAACCAAAAAAAAAGAAAAAAAAAAAAAAAAAAGAAGAGAAAGAGAGTGAGTGATGTTAAGGGTTAGCTCAGTGGTTGGGTGCTAGCCTAAGGCTGGGAAAGGCCAAGGCCAGGCCAAGTTCATTTTCAGGATGGGGGTCAGGTATGGCGAAGAGTAGCTAATTAGAAGTAACAGCCAACTTCTTTTTAGAGGGTTTTATTTCAAGACAGCATCCAGAACATGATTCATTCACAAGAGCAAAATTCAGTATTTTGCCTCAATTTACCCTTCAAAAATGAACAGCAGTGCAAATGCAAACATCCTTAACATGCCTCTGCATAGCGTGCAGAAATGATAGTTCACTGAAAATGTTTCTCCATTTTCAGCTGAGGTGAGATTTGCTGGGAAATCTCTGTAACAACCTGGTCATTTTGTGGGGAGGTAAACTGTCAGACTGTCCCAGAGTCTCCTTAATTGATCTCATCTTTCGGGCTTCCTGAAAATACAACAGAAAAAAAAAAATAGTAACAGTTCTTCAATTTACTCCGATCTAGACCCATACATTTTCTAATACTCCAAACCCCAAGACACCCTACCTCAAAGAACAAAGTGGAAGAGGGAATGGAGTAAAATTCTAGACATTGACCAGCACTCGTGCCCACAAATGTGCCCCTGCATCTTCAAACATGCATGCATTTATACACACAGTGAGGGGGGGGGGGGAAGAGAACCCAAAAGAACAAAAACGGCATTTAAAGGATTTGGGATCTACAAATGATTGTATCATCCGAAGCTACTAATCTAGCTAACAAATTAGTAAGCTCAACCATCGTCACAACTTAGCTTTTCTCATTTTGGCCAGAGTGCGAAAATCCCAGATGAATGAAAGGCTCTTTCCATACGGTCACACGAGACCGTGTGAAGCATTTGTCTGTATTCCCCTTTCTCTTCCCACGAAAGCACTCCAGAAGCCAGCTGTCACCTGTGCTCTGGAAGAACAATCGAAGAAGTCCTGGATCTCTTTCCTGCACGCCTCGTCGCTGAATTCATTCTGCTTCCAGCAAGCCATCATCACCGACATCTCCGTGATACAGGTTGCCTCTGGAGGGGAAGAACTGGAGAACCTTCAGCAACACGCCGACCTGCCTTACACCTCTGCCCCGCGCTTACCCAGACACCCCCGCTCCGAGTGCTCACCGCCTTTCTCTCGGCGTCGGTTCCCGACGCGGTTAGCTAGGATAAGAGGCTTGTTGGGTTTCAGGACAGGTTTTTTCGGGTTCCCCAATCGCGCCAGGCGGCCTCGTAAACTGGGAGTCGCCATTTTGCACAGCGTTCCCAGTAGCCTCCGCGGCGTGCGTGACCCCTCCTGACCCTAACGCGCTAGGAGTGCACCGACAGCTGTGCGCGCGCTTTCCTGATCCTGACTCCGCCGAGCGGGTCGGCTCAAACCCCGGCGGGTCGGCAGCCGCGGCCAGGTTACCGTGCTCTAGGGTGTGCGCCGTCCCTTTGCCGGCTCGGGTCGGGGGCGGACGCGTGGGCTCCACGTCCGAGGCTGCGACTTGTTTGGCGTCTCCGTGTGGAGGCCACGTGAATGCTGCGTTGGTGAAGGCGTCGGAACCCCGGGGGCTGGAGTTAAGGATGTTGGGTTGGAAAGGATTTTTGTTTTAACAAATCTGTAAGAATGATTGCTTTTGCCGGGCGTGGCGGCACGTCTTTAATCCCAGCACTGGAGAGGCAGAGGAAAGAGGATCTCTGTGAGTTCAAGGCCAGCCTGGTTTACAGTGTGAGTTCCAGGACAGACAAGATTATACAGAAAAACCCTGTCGCGAGAAAACAAAATAAATATTAAACAAAAGAGTGGTTACTCTTAAAACTGCTGTGTAGCTGCTGTTTACTCCTTTGGCGTGACCGCACTGTGGGGTGAGGGTTATGACATGTATAACGTACATAACACTTAACGTCATTACATTCATTTAGATCATTCCCATTTATGGACCTCCTGCTGTGGCTGATTTATCAGACTTACTGTTTGACTTTCAGCTATTTTTAAAAACCGAATCCAGCCGGGCACGGTGGTACACACCGGTAATTCCAGCAGAGTTCGAGGCCAGCCTGGTCTACAAACGAGTCTAGGACGGCCAAGGCTACACAGAGAAACCCTGCCTCGAAAAAAAAAAAAAAAATGACAGAGAACCGAGGTTGTGCTACGGATTCCTATGGCATTTGCAAATGAACTCCCAAAACATTTATGCTAATGGAAGCGGAATCCAACAATCAGGTAGTTTTTAATATAATGTCTACATGCAAGATGTACTTGCATGGGTACACTTGTGTTGAAATTATTTTCCACAGATGTTTGGAATTCTCCCTTGATGACCTACATGGATGGCTTTTCTTCTTGAGTCACGTGCCTTGGGTTGAGGCCACTGTCCGGTGGGAAACGGCCCCCACCAAAGTCCATTTCTTGGTCAGTATTTAATATTTAAAAAGCTTACTTGAAATTTGGCCCAAAATGGTAGAGTTGGTTTTTCTGGGGAATCTCAGGATTAACACTCAGTTCATACCGAAGAGTGGCCTCTTGTCACACCCTACCAACACCCGTCACAGTGTGAATTGAATGTTTGTGACCTTACCTACCCCAACACCTACTTTAAAACAGTGGCTCAGGCTGGAGAGGTAGCTCCGTGCTTATGAGTGTTTCTGGAGGCTAGAAACGGTGGCGCACGCCTGTGATTCCTGCACTCTGGGAAGCGGAGGCAGGCAGATCTCTGCGAGTTCAAGGCCAGCCTGGTCTACAAATGGGTCCAGGACCGCAAAGGCTACATAGAGAAACCCTGTCTCAACAACAATTTGGTGTCGTGTCTCTGGCTCTTCTACTTAAGATTTGGTTTCCATCATCCACTTCGAAGGGCTCATTTCTACCTGTACCATTGATTATTAATATTGTTAGGCCAAATGTGGCATACACCTGTGATCCAAGAAATTGGGAGTCTGAAGCCTGCCTAAGTTACATAATGAGCATCAGGTAAGCAAGGGGTTCATACCATGACCCTGCTTCAAAGAAACAAACAACAAAAAAAAAATCATTTTCCTTTAAATGAACTAAAAATGATGAAACAAAAAAGGAAAAATAGTAGATAAATGTTTACCACTGTTTTGGTTTGTTTTTTTATTTTCCAAGTCACAAATTTTATCATCCTCAACCCAAAAAAATAAGGAAATAGAGGCAAGCAAAATGACTCAGTGGGTGAATTCAGTCCCTAGAACCACATAGTAGAAAGAAAACTGACTCTTCCAAGTTGTCTTCTGACATACACATGCACAGGATAATACAAGCTACCACACACACACACATAATAAACAAGTATAATAAAAAAGGAACCAGGTAGAAGACACTATGTAAAAAAAAAAAAAGGTTTATTATATAAGATGAAACTGGAAATAAAAAAAAATAGTAACACTTGCCATCAGCCTTGTGTCCTACCCTCCACTCTGGTAGTACATAAAAGACTATATCAGAAACTTCTCTCCAAACCTGCAGTAAATGCTTGCTGCTGTATACGCTGCAGCTGAGCCCCAAACCGGAAAAATTTCACTCTGCTTTTCCCATATGGAAAGTAAAGCTTTTTCTTTGGTAAATACTCTGTGGTTATTCACAGCTCTTTCCCTTGTGGAAATGAAGCACCTGATTTGTCCTGGTCTTTTGATTGTTTACATAATGATAAGGATAAAAGAGTGTCTGGGAAGCACTGAGGAAACCTGGAAGCCTGACCAACAAGAACCATTCATAAACAGCCGGCTCACTTTGTGAATAAAAGTGCTAACGGAGCGAGCTGGTGAATTGGAGAGGACCCTACATCCTGTGTAACCATCACGTTTCTCATTGCAAGGTGACATCTGAGCTCTGACCTAGGCTTGCACTCTGTAGTGGCTACTCTGCTATAGGTATCGTCACCTGCACTGAAATGGACGATGCCCTCGGAAACAGGGTCTTCTATGACTCTTTTGTACTATGGTATTTGTTTATATTTATTTATTTATTTATTGAAACAGGGTGTCCCACCTTATAGCTCTGGCTGGTCTGGAATACTATGATGTTCAGACTCACAGAGATCCACCTGCCTCTGCCTCCCAATGCTGGACTACTGAAACTAAAAGTGTGCAACCATGCCCATCTATACTATAAAATTTTATGTTTTTTCTTTTCTTGAGACAGTCGTGCTATTGTAGCCCAAGCCAGCCTAGCACTCATGGACCCACATATCTAAGGTGTTTTTTAAACACCTTTCTCTCTTTTTTGCAAGAAACAAAACAGGTTAAACAATCTCCATGCTACTATGAAGGCGTTTTTTTACTAAAGAACAAAATAAAGGTCGGGGGACATAACTCAGAGGCAGAGCCTGAGCAAATGCTTAGCACGCACAGGGCTTGGGATCCATCTCCAGCAAAACACACCTGATGGGAAGACAAAAACAAAAACTGTAGCAATCTACTTCCATGTATGTTAAAGCTGTTCTTGGTCACATCCTTATATGTCACTATGAAGCCTGGCTGCTTACAGCATCTAACACTGCATGCATATCTATATATAGATTCACAGCTATCTGTAGCTTAGTCAGATATGCTGATAAGCTGACTTTTCAAATGAAAATTAACTAATACAATAAGCATAGGTCTAAGGTCCATGGTGTTCTTTCCTATATCCCCAGCAAAAGCTCCTGTGTCCTGGTCAAGCTACAGCAGCATGCAGCTGGTCTGCATCTCCAAAACTATGGTTGTGGTTGTTGTGTACATATATGGGTGTTGTTTTACCTACATGTATGTCTGTGCAGCACATTTCTCCCTGGTGCCTATGGAGGCCACAAGAGTGATCAAATCCCCCCTAGAATTTGATTTAGTTGTCTGCTGCTATGTGGATGGGTGCCCTCTGGAAGAGCAGCCATGCTCTTAACAGTGGAGCCATCTCACCAGCCCCAAACCTAAAGTTTTCATTTAGCTAGCCACTTAATGGTGATTTAAATCCCTTGCCTTCTTCAATCTGTTTGAATTGGGGATTTGGGGCTAGCTTTAATGAAAAAAAAAAAAAAAAGAAAGAAATCTCAGTATTAGGATCAGCTATAACTCAACTGGTAGAGAACTTGCCTCCCCAGGATCACAAAAACCAGTGACTCAGCACCATACAGTTGCCTGGAAGAATGTAAGAAAATATGAGTAATGAATTGAATGGAGCTATCCAGCCCTAGAATATTGCAATACACTGAACTGACATCAGTGTTATGTTAGCTAATTAATCTGTTCATGAGAGAAGGAATTCCGAACATACCCTAAACAAGAAAACCAAGCAGTAAGAATGATGGAAATGTTTGTCCATCTTCCCAACGTTTACGGGAGATAGCAAGCAAAAAAGAGCTATTTAAAATAAAAGACATTTGATATTAAAGATAATGCAAGGTTTTTTTTGTTGTTTGTTTTTTGTTTTTTTGAAACAGGGTTTCTCTGTGTAGCTTTGGCTGTCCCGGTCTCGCTTTGTAGACTATGCTGGCCTTGAACTCAGAGCTCTGCCTGCCTCTGCCTCCCCTAGTGGTGGGATTACAAACTCAATACAGTAAGGGTACAGGGCTGGGCATAGTGCTGTACACCTGTAGCCCCAGCTACTTAAAAGCCGAGGGCAAGTATGGTCAGTTAGGCCCAGGAGCTGGAGGGTGGCCTGGGCCTTGCAGTGAGACCAATCTCAAAAGAAAGAGAAGCAGAGAAGCAGAATAACCTGCCCTACCCCACCCCCGCTTTGCCTCTTCACCAGTATTATAACTGATAAGAAAAGTAAAATGAGGAATGAACACTATTTACAGGTACTAAATAATGGAAGCTTTAGTTCGTAACCTGACCCATCCTGCCCATATTTGAAATGATGAAATGGCTACAGCTATGAGAAGTGTGCTTGAGTGAAATGGCTGCTTCTGGCTTCTGTCTCTCTTTAAGGAGAAGCTCTCTTACTACAGCTGAGATACTGGCTCCACTCCCTTCGGGTAGAGAGGTGGGAGTACTTGCCTAGCACTCCATCCCCGGTGCAGAGCAGAATCAGCAAACACATCACTCCAGAGTGGACAACATCCACTAAAGGTGGGCAGTGGATGTGCCTTAGGTGCAATGGTAAAGCCGTCTCCTTAAGTCTTCCAAGCTAAAGGCTACTGTGCAAGGGAAATTAGAGATTTTTATTCCTTTCCATGAAGATCTGATGTACATAGTCCCAAAATTTCCTCTGCTGGGTTTCATTGTTGTGGATCATGGTGGTGAGAGCTTCCCCCTGATAGAGACCTTGCCAATAATCTTGTAGCCACATTTCCTTCCAGCTGAAATGACAAAACAGGACTGGTGGTAAACTGGGGAGCCACAGCAGCAACAGACTCTACCTTCTTCAAGTGCTTCCAAAGAAACTATAAATAGGTCCCACAGTGGTGGCACACACCTTTAATCCCAGCACGTAGGAGGCAGTGGCAGGAGGATCTCTGAGTTCCAGGCCAGCATGGTCTACAGAGAGAGTTCCAGAACAGCCAAAGCTACATAGAGAAACCCTGGCTTGGGGAAAAAAACAACAAAACACTAAGCACTGTGGCCTCTGGCTAGGACAGGGCTCTTCTGTGAAGGAAAGGAGATATGGAGTAAAACTAATACTAGACCAAGGAACAGGAAGTAGGTCATAAACATGAAGACATCATAGTACACCTAAGTAGCTGACACTGCTGACTTGCCTCGAGCTCTCAAATGTGGAGTAAGTGCAAAGGGTTGCAGAAGGGTCCTGAGCATGGTACTATTCTAGAGGAAAGCAAGGGAGCCTTTCAGAAGGTGCTAACCTTCACCGTTATTTAAAAATCTAAATAAAGGTGCAGTGACATGTAGTGTAGAGAAAAGGCATAACCCTGGGGCTGGGGAGATGGCTCAGAGGTTAAGAACACGCCCTGCTCTGCCAGAGGTCCTGAGTTCAATTCCCAGCAACCACATGGTGGCTCACAACCATCTAGAGTGAGATCTGGTGTACAGGCAGAATGTTGTATAAATAATAAATAAAACTTAAAAAAAAAGGCGTAACCTGAATTTTCTTTTGTTAGAGGGACAGGAGTATCAAACAGCCCAGGCCGGTCTCAAATTCAGTGTATAAGGCTGATTATGACCTTAAAACTCCAGATTCTCCTGCCTCGGTCTCTTTAGCATTAGAATTACAGGTATGTACTACCATCCCTGGCTATTTCCTTAATGCTTTAGCTTTTCTTCTAGTAAGTGTGTGTTAAGCATAAACTGATAAATTCTTAGTGAAAGACCCCACTGTAAGCAGCCCTCTGGGCCCATCCACTGTTGGCAGTCCCTTTCTCCGAGCTATTCTAGTGATCCCTTTTCAAATCAATTGTGGCAGCTTGTTGCATGTGGTTTCAATGTTTTCCCATTCCATCTCCCATGCACACCTTTCCGCTTTCAACTCATTTCCCCTTCCCCTACACTGACCACCAATGAGACATCTATTGAAAGCATTCATTTCTGTCTAGAGAGAATAAATCAGGATATGAACTAAATCAGGACATATAGAAATGAAAGGACGGCTGGGGACGTAGCTCAATGGTAGAGTGCATGCGTAGCACACTCAAGGCTCTGACTTCACACAAAAAAATATGTAAATGCTTTTCAGGGGTACGGTGGCTGACTCTTGTAATCTCAGCACTTTGGAGGCTGAGACAGGAGGATCACAAGCTTGAGGTCAGCCTGGGTCTACAGAGTGACACTCTAGTATGTCTGATTAGTTGATAAATGCAGGGAGGGGGTTCTTTCAAAATGCTCTGAATGAGCTGAGGTGTTTGACTGGGTGGAAAAGTATTCTCTTGGCATGTAGGAGGCCCCGGACTTAATCTCTAGCACAGCCAGAATTCATCTTTACCTGTCATTCTCAGGAATCTCTTCGACTTTGCCAAAGCCAGGAGCAGGCACTGGACAGTTCATGTGTGAGGTCTGGGCAATGTGAGGCTCAGGGAAAGGAATGTCCCCAGGGGAGGATGCATGCGCTTTCTCGGCATTCAGCCGAGCCAGTTCATGGTCGCAGACGAAACACTCAAAGCCATTGAGGTAGTTAGGCAACATGGGATCATTCACTCCCCACTCCCTGTACTCCAGATTGTCCAGAAGAAACTGGTTGGTGATGCCCCCAGGTTGCTTATATGCCAGGTATTTCATATACTCTTCATCATTCTTGTCCAGAAAGTCAATAAACTCCGCTAGCTTTTGAGGGGACTCAAAGTCATCGATTAAGATGATGGAGTGGTTATTGGGCATCCAGTCCCTCACAGAAGGTGATCCACGATAAACAGGCACAGCACCCAGATGCATGGGGCGCCACAGTTTTTCTGTCATGTAATCATTGCAAATGGCATTTTCCAAGGCCAAATGAAACTTATAGCGGGACAAAAAGGCCAAGAGTTCTGGATCCTCGGTGGTGGCCGTGGCTGTGTCCTGTAACCGTTCGGTGGGCAGCTCGCGGTTCTGCAGGCACTTACCATAGGAATCCACCTAAGCGAGGCAGAGCACCGCGGTCAGCAAGGTGACGCGTTCGCCCAGCCCACCCCCTTCCCGGCACGCCACTCTCTCACCCACCGAGATGTAGCGCATGAGCTCCCGTACGTAGCGGTCCCGGTCTGCGGGCACGTCGCAGTGGGACTGCAAGTAGAGCAACGGCGCGTAGCCGCGGCGCCGCCACTCGGCGCGCTCCCGCAGCGGAGGCGCAGGGCGGCGCAAATAGAAGGCTCCGGGCAGCCATTGCAGCGGCAGTGGGTAGTCCGAGTGCCGGCTGAAGGTGGCCGTGAGGTTGAAGAGGCGGATGCCCGGGCCGTGGCTCAGCAGGAAGTTGTTGAGCGGCGACTCCTCGTGCAGGAGCGCCCAGCTCTGGTGCGCTAGGCGCGGTAGGGGCGCGTCAGCCGCCCGAAAGTCGGTGCCGTAAAAGAGCAATGCGCGCGTCCGCGGGTCGGCGCGCACCCGTCGGTCCCGGGACGCCACGCACGCGCCATGCCCACATTCAATGCGCTCCGAGTCGCCTGGGAAGTGCGGAAACAGACCTGGGCTCCACCATAGCAGCACCGGTAGGTCCGCCGTTTCCGCGTTCCCTGGCGGCGAGGACTCCGGCCCGTGCGCCACCCCCACTGCGCCTAGCGCAGCCGGCGGCCGGAAAACCGTGCCGTCCCACGGCTCCTCCCACTCTGCCTCCCTACCCGTCTTCCCCGCAGCCTGGGATTCCGGGCTACTGGCCGCATAGACACTGAGCACCCCCAGGGCGGCTAGCACGGTCTCGGTGCAGCGAGCAGCCATGTTCTCACCGGACCCACTCGGACACCACGAAACCCCGCCCTGTGGGCGACTGGGTAGCCGACCAGGTCCTACGACGCCATAGGGGCACGCAGCGCATGCGTTAACTTCTCTCCGTCACAGGCTTTGCAGGGAGAGGTCCCAAGTAATGAAAGGGATACTGGTTACATCTTATTTTATTTCTTTACAAATTAAAGATGCATTGAAAAATAAACCAATGAAAAGAAATGAAAGGTCCAGAGCAGGGGCATCCCGGGCTGGGAGCAGGCAAGCCTGACCACCGTCAATCCTAGCCCTTGTCCTGCCCCAGCCAATTGGAGTTGGAAGATAACTGTCAGCCACTCAGTCAATACCAAAGCCCGGTAACGTCCTGGCACAGGAAGACAGGGCTCCAGCCATCTCTGCCTCTCCCCAACAACGCCCAGTTTACAGAAGCCGTGTTCCTGGTGGGAGCTGAGAGGGATGTAGGCTGGCTCTGTGAGGTATTGCAAGTTGACCATCAGGCTCTCTCTAAAACCATCCAGTATTGGGGCTTCTCCATCTGCAAAGGAGGCTGCCACCTCCCCTGGGTGTTAATATGCTCTGCAATTCTGTCCCCAGGCTCATTCATCTTTAGCTATGTGCTTCTGTCCACGAAGTGCTCACCAATCATTGCAGGGAAGAGAGCACAATTAAGTAGAGAGACAAGTAGTCAATCCATCCTCAGTAACTAAGCTTTTGCTACTGACCACCAGGACCCCCAAAGGACCAGCCACTTTATTCTCCACCACCTACGGTCTCTACCCAAACTCTTGTGCACCTGTATATTTTATCCCTAATATAGGAAGTTGTTGATGACACGGAGCTGAATTTGCCACCTTCTGTAATAACCCTGGGATTCCCACTTCTCTTCCTGCCTGCCCCTTTCCATTCGGAGACTGGTCCAGATGGACACAATATTGCTAGGGCCTGGCTGCCTCCAAACCCCCAACACCAAATCATATACTGTGAACTGAGAAACTACATTCATTACAACAGGATTAGCAGGAGAAAGAGGGTAGAGTAAGGGTCCCGGGGCACCTTCCATCAGCAGGACAGGACAGAGTGGTAGGGTATTTGAGCCCAGAAAGGTGTCACCTTATATCTCGCCCTCCCCCCAAAAGAAGTCAACTGAGGTCAGCTTACATGAGTTATAAGATATGGAACTGTCCCAATTTCTCTGCCATCCTGGGGTACTTCCTGGAAGCTGGCATGGGACCCTATGCCATTTACCCACTTGCTTTAGCTCAGTAGCTGCCGAATCTCCTTGTGCATATGACAGAGAAAGTCCACATAGGATGCACCTCCACTTAGGCTCTTGTCTTCCACCAGGAAGTGCTTGAACAGCATCTCCAGCTTGTCTTCCTGTTTGACCACAATAAGCTACGGCCAGAAGGCAGGTTGTGAGGAAGGGCCAATGGAAATGAAGCACTCATTCTCTCCCTCCTCATGCTCCTTCATGCTCACTTGACAAGGTAAAAAATCCAGGATTCAGAGCAGTGTTACTGTAGCTCAGTGTTAAGAGTGCTTGCCTCACATACAGAATGCCTAGGGCTTAATATCCACCCCCACCATGGCAAAACACAAAACATCTGGGTTACCTTCATGTACCGCATTCTCTGCGCCCGCAAGCTATCAATGAGGCCTCGAACCTTCTTGGATAGTGGATTATCCAGAACTGGCAAAACACTCTAGAACAAAAATTCATGTATTACTATGATAGAGTACTTTTAAATCAAGAGGGAGCAACAGATGTAGGTATAATCTGAAAGGAGGAAGCCTGAAAAAAACTTGACAGCACCTTTCCTTGCCCCAAGCGGTCTCTGATATGTAAAGGACCAGCAGAATGACTTCACTGACCCCATAGTCAAATCACCAAAGTGTTTTTCCATACCCATATTATCCCTGACACCCTCTTCTCACCAAGCCACTGGTGATCTGACTGAAGGAAGAGACGTTGAAAAGGCTCTGGACAACACCTTGTTGGACGCTTGCTCCCACCCAGACAAAGAGGTTGAGACCATTTTCCAGCAAATATATATCGCCACTACTTAATCGCTCTTCAGAGGCTCGAACTGCTGGTGGTTCAGTGGTACTATCGAGGGGAGACTTTGTCTAGATAAAAAGGGAAAAAAGTCACCAAGAACTACAAAGACAGTCCCTTACACAAACTAAGAAAGCTAAGTCTCTAGATAGTAATAGGAAATGTACATAAAAATAAATTCCTTGATGTTGGCAATAAAGTAATCCCATTTGCTCCTTAGAGACCCTGTCCTTAGTACAGTGTCTCATACTCCATCATTCTCACCAGTGGTAGGAGCCGAGGGTAGAAGAAGACATTGGTCTCAGCCACATCCATGGAGGAAACCAGCTGTCGAACATAGGCACGGTCATCAGTAGTGACCTCAGCTCCAGGCTGCAGAACATCACTCTTCAGTACACAGTTCAGGTAAACTGGGAGTAGCTTCATGCACTCAGGTAGGATCAACTGAGGGGTTTATGGAAATAAAGTCAATGATCATGAGAAATCCCTCTAAAACAAGCTTTTGTTGAAACCACCCCTCCACTAACATTCTTGCCCCACCTGTCCTGCAGAAGAAGGGCTGGCACAGTTCTTTCTGTAACAGGCTAGGATCTGGGCACACTGGGTGATGAGAGTGTCACGTACAGTCTTCACAGGGCTGTTCAGAACACCTCGATATGCTGCATGAGAAAGAGAGACAGCAGTCACTGGTCAGCTTCCCATCACATGCACTTTCCTGCCGTCACACCTACCCAGGAGTGCTGAACCATCCTGGACCTTTCTCTCATCCCCAATCCCACCCTGCCCTGCATCTACCCTCACCAAACTTGGCCATGTAGTTGATGAGCGTGTCAGTCTCACAGTTTCGATACAGATCAGCCAACTGGGTGCAGCAGTTTAGGGCCAGGTTGTGGATGCGGAGCCGACGCTGCCCTGCACAGCTGGTATAAAGCAGGGCACACTAGGGGAAGGGAGAGAGGGGGAACTCACACCCCTCCCTCACAATCCCACCCAGCCCTTATCCTCTTCCCAGTGAGTGCATCCAGCACTCTCGTCCTGTCCCTTCTCCCGCCTGCCACCTGCAGTAGGGCTCCACTCTCTTCACTGAGCCGGTCATCATGCTTGAATTCCACAGTCACTGTCTTGTCACCATCCAATCCAGCCAACTCGACATCTGTTGTGTTGCTCATGTAGAAAGCCCCAAAGAAATCTACAGCACGGATACCTGAGGCCACAGGGACAGGTCAGGGCTGAAGATAAGACATATGCCTCAACTAGATTTAGCCTCAGCCAGAACTCACCAGTACTTGTCCGAACCCGCATCACAGCATCAAAGCCAACCTCCTTCTGTACATCCCGACGAAGGTCACGCAAGAACCGCTCCTGATCATTCTCCACCTGCAGCCCAGGCCCAGAGTCACATCACTGACCATACAGGTCATCCTGCAGTCAGTCTCCCAGCACCCCTTCCATACTACAAGCCCTCTTAATCATAATAACAGTGCAAAAAAGAACGACAATGAAGCTTTTCTACATGCATGACAAACCAGGTAACACACAGAGTGCTTTATATACAACTGTTTAATTCTGTAAATAAATCCGAGTTAGTAAACTCTACTTTGCAGATTAAAGAACAAAAGATGAGTAATTAAGTGACTATCTTTGGACACTAAGTGGGGGACCTCAGTATCAACCCAGGACTGACTTTTAAGACCCATGTGCCTAACCAGTATACTCTGGGCTCAACTTCACGCACCTGTAATAATAAAAATTATATAGTCCAATACTCATTAATTACTATAACACACACCACTAAGTTAATAGCTAAAGAGCTACTCCAAATATAAGCAGGTATTTCCACACCCAGAACTGTATACCTGAAAGCAGGCATATTTGTAGACAGAGCCTCCAGTGAGCTGGGGAACAACAGAGAGTGTGGCCACATCTACATACTGGTTAGGGAAGAGGAAGAGGTCCACACAGCAGCCTTGGGCCACACACTCTTTGGCCAGAGTCTGATAGGCACCCGTCTGAGGCTGGAACAGAGTCTGGAAGGGAACAGAAGAAATGTCAAAAAGCTTTACCCAACTTCATAGTTATGTATGTAAAATGAGAAACTCACAGTTTCTACCACCTTATAATTCCAACAGTAGGAAGGAAAAGGAAGACTAGAGAAGGGAAAAGGAAAATGTGCAGGGTGTGATTGGGCACACCTATAATTTCAGCACACAGAAGACAGAGACAAGTCACTGTAAGTATGAGGCTAGCCTGGGCTACATAGTGAATTCCAAGCCAGCCTAAGCTACATAGCTAGACCCTCCCATCTCAAAAAAAGCAAAAAATGAAAAGGAGAAAAGGAAAGAGTCTAGTCAAGTCCACTAAGAATTTTGTGAGTAGGTTGGCATTCACAAATGGGACATGTGAGAGGGCAGAATGTAATCCCAGTCCACCTGGGTGACAGTGAAGAGCTGACTTTGGAAAGTCAGCACCTTCTTCTGTAATGGAATGCCCCTCCCCATCTCTAGCCACACCTTCTCCTTGTCTGTGTTGATCAATTTCCTATCATCTCTATTCTTCAGCTTCCCTGGGGCCTCTGCAATGGGCAAGGAAGTGTGGAACAGAAACAGCTTTCCTGCACACTCAGCAGCCTAGGAAAAAAAATAAAAATTACTCATCCATTCCTCCTTTATTCATTTATTGTTCCCTCATCTTTTTCTTTGTCATTTATTAGGCACTAACTGTATGACACGCACTGACTTGCTAGACAGTTACACATAACCAAGGCTTGTTATCCAGTGGATAACATGGTCAGAGAAAAGCAGGAGAGAAGGTTACCAGGGACTCCTGCCTTACCTTCAGAGCTTCCATCCCAGCCTGGATAACTGGGGCAAATACTGTCTCTGTCTCTCTTGTATCTGCAAACATTTCTGGAATCTGATCCAATAAACTGAAAAGACAGACAACCAAAATTGCCACTCAGATTTTAACTGA